TGCTTGGGATGTGAGCACAAAAACCTGCTCTTCCTCCCTTGACTCACACTTGGGAAGCACATCCTGCAGCGAGGGGGCACATCCCAGGATTACAGCAAGTCCCTGGATGAATTAAAGGAAACACTTTGCAGCTGCTGCAAGAAAAGCCCTGAACCAAGCTCTGCCTGGGGTTTTGTAGCCAGGAATATCTGAGCTGAGTGAAGGAGGTGAATCTCAGGCACCACGATGTAACTGGAGCGTTCCAGGAGGCAGGAAGGAATTTTTCCATGACACAACAGTCCCAGGTGCATCAGGGCTTGGGGGCTTTGTTTGACTTTGGGTGAACCCAAGGCACATTCTGCCACACTCCTTACCCAAAGCCAGTGAAATCTGAGGTGCTGCAAACAGCCCCAACCCCCTGACAGCTGCAGAGGCACAATCCTGCTCTGTGCAGCTCCCCAGATCCAGCCATTTGTGCTTCCTCCAAGTCCTCCCAGCTGCAGGGAACAGATTGTCCCATCAATCCAGTGACAAATGCACCTGATGCTTTCCAAACACAGAACTTAGCAGGGAATATTTGATTTCTTTCCCAGCCCTGACTCAGATCCCTTGTGACTGCAGGAGGGTCTCACCCAGCCCCTTCACATCCTCATTTCATCCAGTTTGTGTCTGGAAGGAGACTGAAATTTTCCATAACAGATACTATACTTGACATGGATCATGACTTATCCTCTTGAGACACAGGACCTAGAGAGGAGGGAAAACTGTTTGTGCCTCTTAACCCCCAAATCCTGGGCTAATGCCAGAGAGAAGAGAGGAAAGACGTTACCTAGTTGTTGACATTTGTTAGTAAGGGTAAGACACTACAGTCCCGTGGAGTTAGTACTTGTCTCTCCTCCAACAGCTCCTCAGGTGTCTCCTAGCTGGTCTGAGGCTCCTTTTTGCTGTTGCCTCCACAGTGATTCATTTCCTAGTGATGGAAAAGTTCAGCTGTTATTTATCACACCCAGCACAGACACAGAGTTCAACCAGGCACCGTTCGAGGGCTTCATCCGTCCCAGACTCACAGAGCTTGTAATGTGTAATGATTTCTCAGCACTGAACAAGTCTTTTTTCCCTGTCAGGGCAGATAATTGGGTGAGCTGTGGAGTAAATCCCCTTGGCAGGAGGTACTGGCTGTTGGGAGAAGGCCACGGAGGAGCCTGGAAGGCTCTAGTGTTTCCAGCCATGCACACGTGATGCTGCTGCAGGATGGAAAACCCTTCTCAGAGCTCATCCCTCCTGCACAGCAGCTCTTCCTGTGACCCCTGACATCCCTGAGGATGTGCCCAGTCCTAGTCCTGTGCTCCCTGACAGAGGGATATACCCAGTCCTAGTCCTGTGCCCACTGTCCATCCCTGAGGGATACACCCAGTCCTAAGTCCTGTGCCCACTGCACTGTCCTGAGGGATATACCCACTCCTCTCTCTTTGGCACTGGAAGGGGCTCTAAGGTCTCCCTGGAGCTTCTCTTCTCCACCCTGGCCTGGAATACTCCCAGGGATGGAGCAGCCC